CTATACTTTTTAGCACGTAGCTATTTATTATTAGTATTATTCTTCCGACGTCTGATTTCTTTTTAATTATAGGAAATGCATTTTTCTAAGGTACATAAACTTTTGGAATTGACTGTATAGCCAATACATCCTTCAGTTCCACGGATGCACGGGCAATTAAATCGGTCGCGTGTTCGTGTAAGCGTCCTAACGAACACTATCTTTGTCCGCGACTCGGTGCGATTTCGCGGAGCGTTTCTTTCCCGCCGTTACAGCGTGCCGCTTCAGTTGTCGCAAATCAACGGGCGGCTCTGTGCAATTGAGGAGAAACTCGACATTTCTTTCCGATGTTATGCAAAAATTCATCCCCCCTCAATCACGCTTTTGTTTAACGACGCTCGAGCGCGATACTGTCCGCGCAGTCCTCGCGGAATCCCGTGGTACAACAGTACTGCTCGCAGAATTTGGCGAAACTCTTCTCGCATGATGGAACGCGTTTCTCTGTTCTCGTTGCATTCGATCGAAAAACAGTGAATCAACGTCTTGACAAATAAGAAGACAACTATTGAAGTACTTAACGAAAAAATATTGATACGCTTATATTTTTATCGCAAACCACGTGGCAGGCAACGAGGTGAACGCGAGTGAAGATGTCAACATCGTTACCCGGTTATCATTCGGTGTACAAAGTGTAACTTCCGAGCACAAAGTGGTCAACCTTCGACAATGAAGCTCAGGACATTCCGTGTTCTGTGCTCCCTGTGCATATTGTGCACTTTTGCCTTGTCCGAAGAGATCGACCGTGAAAATCGACCAGTTTCGGACTCGAACTCTCAAGAATCAGAGGAACCGCTGACCGCAAACAGCCCGCGGGATAAACGAGCTTTGGGTCTAATACTTTCTGGCCTGGCGCAGGTTTTCGGTTACGCGATGGATCCTATTCAAATAGCCTCGTTGCCTAACAGTGACTCAAACGAAGCAAGAGCTACTAATCAGACATCAGCTAACAATCAGACTGCTTCTACACCAGCTGCTTCGTCAAATTCCACTCAGTCCAGTGGATCGTCAACTACCGCTGTTCCTGGACAGCGAGAGACGATCAGGTTTACTGGTGTAGTCAATTTTGGCAACAGTACAAACTTATTGACCCATTTGCAACAATACGAAACGATTTTCCATGGGAACAGCAGTTCCACGACGTCTAGCCCGTCGTCAACGTCTCCACCCCAGATGAATACGAGAGCACCGACGTCGAACCAATCGTCGGCTCCTCCTTTCTTAGTAAGAATTCCTATACCATCCGCATCGCAGCCACCCTTACCGCCTATGCCTCAACCACCTTTACCCGAGATTCCCCCGCAGGATATTATGCTATCGTATCCTCGGCCGCTTATTCCGATTCAATTACCGGCAATTAGTACCCAACCACCGCCAGCAGCTAACAACCAATCAGCGGTGATGATGAATACCCAACGGCCAGTAGTCATGCGACAGAACATGACGGTAAGACTGACGGTGGAGAGTAAAGAAATGAATAATCCAAAGGATATTCAAAAGCCGCTTCCGCCAACCTTCTCTCCTTCTACTGAAGAACAGTGGAAGGAGGAATATGAAAATAGATTAGCAGAACTGGAGAGGAAGCAAGAGGAACACGCGAGGAGGTTGATGGAACAGGAATTGTACAGAAACCAGCAGCAGCAAGATAATTACAGTAATGAGGAGGATGAAGAAGTTTTTAGTACTCGGAAGCCGGTTCCTAAATGCGAAGAACAGAATGTATCGTCGGAAGAAGAAAATGACTCAAAGGGAAAGGATGAATTTTCGAACAGCGAGAAAGTGAGGGAATCTGAAGAAGAAGAAGTACAAGGGAAGTATTATAATAAGGATGTTGATAATGCTAATCAGTATGAGGATGCACCTCAAGTTAGCGAGAATTATACAAGTATACAGTACAGTGAACCATTACCGCTCAGCGAGGATGATGAGCGGCGGCCTGATGAACTTCGCAATAGTTACGGACAACCGCTGCATAATAGCGAATTGTTCGACAATGGATTCGTGAACTATTTCGAGAAGTTCGCGAAGCCACTCACTGACTTTTACAGTTCGCCTGAGTCACCGAAAGAAGAGGAAAACTCGGAAGATTCTCGTGAGGAAAACGAAAGAAGTGGAGAAGAAGAGGACGTACCTGCCAGAAACAGATATGAGGAATATAATTTAGAAGGAGACGGCGATACTAACAACAAAGATGAGGCAGAATCTAGTGAGGATTCATCTGAACCGTTAATTGGAAAAAATGGCAATGTCTTAACGAAGGGTGAAAATAAATCGTACTTTAATGAAGAGAAAGTAATCGAAGAAATGGATTTCAGTAAATATATGCCTCTCATCGTGCCTGTTCGATACTTAACTGCACCTGAAGAGTTAAAGAAATTAAAGCCGAGAAGTGAAAAATCAGAGAAAGATAACAGCGTAGCAAAGACGGAAAGTTTAAAGAAAGTTTCGTCTAAATCAAGGAAACCGAAGAAAGAGAATTTAAGAACTGCGGCCAGCTTCCCACAAAGACGTACACCGAAAAACCTTCACGAAGAGGGTGAAGAGAAGGGTGCACAAGTATGGCCACCTCCGTTTGACTTCGTTGTAGATAGTACCATTCATGCGAATGCTTTTCCAAAAACGTTAAACTCTAGCGGCAATATCAAGATTTCTGACGCTCGTCGAAAACCTCAAGTTTCCAAGAAAAAGAAGGGAAAAAGGCAACAGCAACAGAGAAGAGGAGTAATAATCGATAATACGACACGGAAACCGTACGAAAATCCTGAAGATATTTATTACCAGGATATTAAAAAAATTCCTCAATATGGAACTGTTCCTGGAGAACAGTTACTGCTTAATAGACCAGTGGATTCTGCAGGTGACGCGCACTTTGAAATTGCAGAAACCAAATCTGATCAAAGTCAAACGAAGGAAGTACCAGATTTCGGGCAAAGTTACAGATATATTTTGAATAATAATTACAGGAACATGGAACGGCCAAACGCACATATAGAGCATCCTGTGCAACGAAATCCGCTGTATACGAACAGATTCGAATCTTTAAAGCGCAGTATTGAGAAACCTGTACTTCCAACGGGACATTATTACAGTGAAATGATATATCCAACGGAAAATACAGAGCAAATAAATTTGAAAAACAGTGGCGTACAGAACATTGAACTCGTTCCTAAAAACTATGAGCAAACAACAATTTATCCTCGAGGGAACCGGAATTTTTTTAATACTGGTAAAAGTGTTTATGATTTCGATCGTGGGACAGGAAACGAAAGAATGTTTGGAGTTTTTGGCGGTGATAAAAAGATTGCGAACAAGGCGTCAATTGGCTTGACAATACCGCAGCCAGACGTGTATGTCGAAAGTTTAACGAAATTCGCCAGTGAACCGGAAAGCAAAAACGAGAAAGTCCGAGCTACAGATTATACGAATAGTGCTACCACAACGAGAGTGATGGAGCAAGAACAGATTAATCCAAGTGAACCAATTAGTTATATCGATTATCCTCGCATTTTATAACATTATGCAATTTCCGAATTGTTTATACTAGTTGGCATACTTTTTACAGTTGAGTAAATCTGAATTATTTAACGCATTATATCAACAAACTTCATTTAATCTCACAAACATATTAAACTGCAACAGTAAAAACTTACAACCAATGATACGACTGGTCCATTCAGACAATAAAAATTCATATAAATTGTTCTGAAAATTCTTATAAAAAGTAGAAATAAATAATAGAATCTTCATAATTCTTTTCAATATAATTATTTCCCGATGCTCTTTCCGTTGATGTAAGATATTACTTACAATAATATATATTTGTAATATTGCACGTGTGTTACAGGAAAAACGAGAAGAAATGCAAAGGCGCAACGAATTGGAAATCAAGATGTCTGAAATTCTTGAAAATCTGAAAACTCGTTTACTTGTGGAATAATTTTTAACATTCTAATACATATAACATGTCTTATTGCTTATTGTTGATAAAAATAACGAACAGATTGTACGAAAATGTTATTGAAAATACGTGTTCATCTTTTTCTGTATTATTAACGTCGCATAATTGATAAAAACAACATCTCGTGTAACAAATGTAAAATGTACCCAAGGACAAATCACTTACCACTTTTGTCTCAAGAATTCTATTCCTTCCCGACTCCCTGCATTGTGGTCCACGCGTACAATTGTAAAGAAACACTATCGCGGCACATTTATAATCTAATCAGCATTTTAACACTATTTTTAACAAGTTATTCCGTTTTGTTTTACGATAACAAAACATTATAACCGTCGGAGGAATCACCACTCATCATAAAGATCGATTATAAACAACTTCAATTGATTTATGATAATCGAAATGAAATAAGTCGAAGGGAAGATTTCAGAGCGCGCTAGTACTGCAGTATGCTATGTTGAAGCCTGGCTGAAGCCATGCGACGTCACGAATTTGTCAAAAGTATTGACGTTCTGAATAATTATTTAACAAATAATAATTATAAAATGTTTAGAGCTGAATAACGAGAAATATATCAGATTTAAAAGTAATTTATTAACAATTAAAGTTTTGCGAACATGGAGGAATTTTTACGCAACATAGGTGTAGGATTACGACCTATCAACGATCCATTTTTTGAAGAATCCTATAATACTTGCAAAATATTTCAACGCAAAGGAATCACTGTCGAAGATGATGAAGAATTATGTCATGAAGTGTAAATTGATACATGATTTATCTGAGCTTGTATAACCTAGAAGTGTTGTGCTTAGGATGTAATCTTATTTATTTTTAATTTCAGTATGAGAGAATTCCCGTGTTATGTTACTGGTTGTAAAGCTATTTTCCAAACGTTGCTCGACTTTGAAATGCATTACAACAGCAATCACAGATATGTTTGTGCAGAGTGTAAAAAGTCTCTGCCAAATCCTCGTTTGTTAGATATTCATATTCAAGAATCTCATGACAGTTTCTTTCAAGTCTTATCTATGAAGCAACCAATGGTATTTATCAAAAATTTATGTATATCATTGTCTATCTGTTGAACTAGCATCTATAATGTTTGTTTTATTTTTAGTATCAATGTTATGTGTCAGAGTGTGACCTAAAGTTTAATAACCCTGTTGAAAGGAGGAGTCATTGCATTAATGTACATAAGTTTTCTAAGAATTTCCGATTCGATAATGCTCCACATTTTATGAAAGGTGAATCAAAAAATAAAATGGATATTGATGAAGTCGAGACTGAAAGCGAGGTATCGAAACCTAAGAAAGTAAAGTTAAATAAAAATCAGAGGAACAAGATGTTTACGAGAGCAACGAAAAGTACAACTTTAGTAAATAATACAACTCATGAAAATCAATCAGGCTCTTCAAATACTAATTCAGGAGCATCTCCTTTATTTTTTATTCCTGCCCAAGTACAAAAATCGTACACAAAAGCGCTTACTAAAAATCAGACTAATGAAAAGAATGTACTGGAAACAGGATGTATGATGGATCTCGCGGACTCATTACCTGATTGATGAGCTACTAACATTAGGATTATTTTATGATAAATGACAATTTTTTTATGAATTTTATAATATAAATATATTTTCAGTATCCCAACAGTATTTGTATGTACACTCGAGTTTACAAGACTTACTCATATACTTTCTACTCGTTTCTTATCCGTACTTTCTACAGAATTATATTAACAAAGTAACATTTCTTATTTTATAATTGACAATTAAATTATAAGCCGACTAGGCAGAATCTTCGATTAAAAAAGAACAGTCAAAACATTTAAAATACTTTGATATTATTAAACGACAGAAATATACGGTATCGAATTCTAATCAGTAAAACTATTTTACATAACATCAATATGAGATCATGGACTAAAATAATTACTGGACAATAAAGCATTACTTTGATAAAAGTACTGATAGCATAATGCTTTGATATAACTGGAAAAAATGATTTCGAATATTACGTTACGTACACTAATTAGAATGTTAATATTTACAAATATCGTCAGACGTAAATACTATCACAACACTTAGTGTTGCGTTATATATAAATTATTTACACAATTCTCCATTAACGCTCGAAGAATATCGATAATTTAAAACCGTAAATCACGATCGCAAAATCTACCTAGATTGGATCAAACTTCTGAGCTTCTCGGCCTGGGCTCTTAATAAACAAAGTTCGTATTTTAGTTGTGAGTTTTCGTGTTCGAGGAACGCAGCTCTGATCGCGATTTCGTCCTCCTTTGCCCTTCGAGCATCACGTGACCGTTTTGCGGCTTCATTGTTTTTCCTTCGTTTTTCCCAGTACGCGGCATCTTTGTCGTCGAGAGTGCTCGTGCTCGTCGGCAATCCCGGGCTCTTGGTGACTCTTCGCATTTTCGCGTTTGTCGCTTCGTTCGATTTTTGGACTGACTCGAGCATTCGTTTACGGAATTCCGAGTACGCTTCGTTCGACTTGTCGTACATCAATTCCGCTGTTCCTGCGGTGAGTGCCAATGGATCTTTCGGGTACGCTTTGAAAGGTCTCGTTGGCTTTTTTCCATCCATGGTCAACGCCGCATCTTTGCAAGTCGTCGTCGCGGTGGTCGTCACCGCTGTAAGAATTTGCGCCGTCGTTTTGTTTATCCCGCCGTTTTGAGCGACGAAGGTTGGTAACAGTGCGGGAACGCATGGCACCGGGATGTTCATCGGTATAAAATCGCCGCGCTGAGGGACGCATGGGCCGATGTTGTTCGCGTCTGGGTAATTACGAATCGGCTGGCATCTAATCCCGTTCGATGAACTGATCTCCGACGGGGGTGTGATCGTGAACGTTCGACCCTCTGAAGATCCATTCCTTTCGGGTACGGTGAAATCCGGGTACGGCGCGTATTGTTGTCTCGCGATTGTGCTCGGGGGTGGATTCAAACAGTGATCGGGCGAATTTAAGTGCTGCATCGTTGACCTGGACTCGCTACGTGTTGGAGAAGTTTTCTTGCAGGAAAGATCCAAAATCGGCGCGGTAGACATATCGCCTGGTTTGGTAGTGAAGTCCAAGGCTTGCATGCTGTCACTGGGTGGCACAGAGTACGACTCCATTTAGAATCTCGCCGGCACCTGGAACAACAAAAACGTGAGTTAATGATGAATATTACGTATTACTATATGTATAGGCTAAACGCTGTAATATCCGATCGTATTCGGAAGAGAGAAATAGATACATATATTGCGATGTCCGATTCGTGGTCTTTACGAGATATTAATTAGATACTGCCATAAGCGGCGATGGTGATAAACGAAATATGTAGTGTTTAAAAAAAAGCCGCTGCGTTCGAATGGGCGATAACGATCGCTTCAAGTTGTAGAAACCGAAAGCGATAAGTATATTGATAGATATTTTGGTAAATGGGGTCTTTATGTTAATGAAATCAAAACGAGACTCTGTTATTCGGTAATGTTTCGTATTGGGCAACGCGGTAACGAAAATACATTTGACAAAGAACAGAGACGATTCTTTTTGTCAGAAAATCTTTAACAGATCCGATCCGCAACTTTGAAATTCTCACGAAGTATTTGGAAATGGATGATCTCACCTGATAATTAATCCCACTGGGTAATCAATATCGCACAGGTCACACGGATACTGCAACACACCGTACTCCACCGTGAACGTTTTCACGAAAAATGTTCTCAAGAAATATCACTGTCTGCCGACAAATGACGTCTAAACGGCGTTAGCTTCTAAGTAGGTCCTCACAGCGAATTGCCAAAATCGTTTACAGCAAGAGAAGGGCGCATCCCTTCCTTATATAGCGGTCAACCCTTATGAGGCCCAAGGGTAGGAGTACTCCTTGGAAAATAGTGGGGGTGATGGTCCTGATGACCATGGCGTTGGGATCTTACTGGCACGCGTTCACTACTTCCCTATTCCGAAATATTTATGGTACGAAACGGTCCCGTGATGACAACAGACGTAAACGCGAACACAGGAAATCAGAGTAACGGTATTTCGATGATCGGTTAGCTGTAGGCATTAAAACAAAGATTTCGTTCGAGATGATATCATTAAAGTTTCCTGATAATGAGGCCGCCTCAGAAAAATGTCCCACTTTTTAACTTGATCTTAAAGACATAGACGTAAGAATTTAATGATCTTTTAACCCTTCGTCTGCAAGTTTATTTGTACGTCGTCTACATACTGGGTTTAAGTTCATGCATGTTTTGATTTTTAAAATTCTTTTTTTCTAATTCCGAAGGATTCTTGAATACTGTTCGAAGTTTCGAAGAGGAATATCGTCAAATCGACTATTGGAATAATTTTTCAGCGCAGTAAATTCTTCGATGCATTTATGTTTGATTTATTATGCCTCTAGTGGGTGTACTGTTGAGTACAATGAAAGAGGTCGGGTTGCTCATCTTAATAGTTGCGTCAGATATTTTATAGCTTTCGGTCCCTGGCAGTAATGAGATTGTCACCTACCCTGTAATTATCGCGCAGCAGAAAAATTACGACTGCTTGATGACTTTCCGTAAAATTAATGTCTGTAATGGCAGTTACTACCGTCAGGGTTTCCAAATATCCAGTTACCGGGTGGCATAATAAAACCCTTTTCCTCTTGAAGACCTGCGTACGGGCAATCTGTATTTCAGAACGACTTCTAGGCGAAAGGTTTGAGGCGTTTAGCAGCCGCTGCGTCGGGTGCCTTTCTCTGTAATACTTATAGCACGGACAGTGCGTACAGAATTGTACTGGATAACCCTTTCGTGGACCTTTCCTTGACTATTTCCCATAGCATTTCCATCCCTTGTCTTTGATACTTATAATTTACGATACCCACCGTGGCCATGGACAGCAACTCGTAGAATTTGCGTAAAGCGCTCGTAAATTAACCGGCGAAAGTTCTATTCGAGTCATTTACGATATTTTTAAACGCTTGAGCAAAGGGATAGGTAAAACGGTGCTGCGCTTCCAACCTCCGATCATCGGTTCATGAATGATGAATTTTTCTTCCGTCCTCGTTAGGAATGGACAACATATGGCAATTCTTTGTAATGTGCCACCAGGAGCTGGATCCATTTCTTTCTTCGAGTCATGCTGATTAATGGCTCAGTTTCACGAATGACTACGTAGGCTCATTAATTAATCATTTGCCAAAAACCTACTCATGATACTTTTCCGTCTCACTTTACGATTCTCTGTAAATAATCTAATAATGAAGCGAATAAAATGTTTCTGCAAAATTCTTCACCCCCTTCTAGTTTCCATTTGCAAAGTTCGTGGAAACTCGAGTGTGAGAAAAGTAAGGAAAAAATGACAGACGAGCCAGCGTCCAGTTACGGTCGATAGTAGAGATGTCTCATTATGTCCCAGTCCCGAGATCACGCCAAATTTAGTCCTTCGCTTCGTAGCCCTGTTAAAACGTCGTGTCGCTATAGAAAAGCACCCCGGCGTTCAAATTCACCGCACCGCCTCCTTTCTCGTGTATACAAATTTTTGCTCTTTTGGCCATATAACCCACATTTCTATGGTGCAGGGACCGCAACCCGTTATTTTCGATTTTTCCCGTAGTCGTCGACAGATGAATGAATCTGTGCATTTGCATCTGTCGCCTGTCTCACAGAGGAACCGTTCTTATACATATAGAAATCGTGTAACGGTACAAGGATGCAAAATTTTTATGATTCGTTGTGGAAAATGTCTCAATTCATCGGATACGTTCACGACTTTTTAAATGTCCAATCGGTTTCCTTCTAAAGGGAGACGAAAGAACAAAGAAATGAAATATTCTAATAAGTGCTGTTTATGTAAAATTATGAATCGATTAAATTCGCTGGCTACGTAATTTTCACAATTTTGACTCGGCAATCATACGGACAATTGTTTTTTATCAATTTTGTTAGATTGATTGTTTGCGTGCATCGCCAGATAACGTAAATGACTAATAGAAAGCGTCTGATAATCCGAAAGAGTGTAATCTTGGAAGACCTTTTCGTAGATTCCCAATAAGGCTTGAGAAGTCATCGTGTGTTGTAATGATAATACTTTGTGGAATTTGTTTCACGCAATGTGCTTACAATTAGTTTTAACGTCCAATAATCTCGAACTTCAAACCCTTGGCGGAATACTAACAGGAACTATTTTATTTACATTTACAACTTAGAAGTAGAACAATCTCTAGTGCCTTCGGCATTCTTTTCAGCTGTCGTAAGAGACAATAATATTTTGTGATCAATTCGTTTTCGGTCTCATTAAAATTCGACCCAGGTCAGGTAAAGTGGAAATATGTAGTCATTGTTTCAAATCCTATTTAGAATTTCATAAATAAAGTAAAGAATTATTAAAAGTTGGGTATAATAAATTAAAATAATAATTTTTAATTTCATTATGAATTTATTTTGAAGATTTAATACCACTTAACAAATTTTCTCTTGTGTGCTTTACACTGTATTGCCTCAATTGTTCTATCTCTACATTTAAATTTACCTTTCCTTCTGATAGAATGTATGTTTCTTTTCGCTTTGTTATTTGATTCGTTATTCTTTGTCAGTGATACTTTTATCTTACGCTAATATTAGGAAAATTAGTGCAGGATGATTCTGAGAAGTCAATAGAATTGCGTAGGATTAGTTCAGAGGTTTAACGTTTAAGTACTAAACGGATACACTAGAAAAATTGTAGGTAAAAGGCAAATTAACTGCGGAATTAAATTACATATGAAAGTGCGAATTACTAAACGCCTAGACCTAAACTCTTGAATACCCACAGGTAAATTTCAGTAAATATAAAGAAAAGGAAGGACCGTCGGTCTATTAGAAACCATTTGTTTATTTTGACTAAATATAGTTAATCATGAATGCATTTCATATACCACAAAAATGTATTTTGGTCAAATTATTGTATAAGAATCCAGTTTCGCGATAAATGATGGACCATCTTAGTAGGAGGTCTTAGAGCACGAGTTCGTTTTCGGACCTTTTAGTAAAATCGGACACCGAAGATACCCACAACGTTTTCAGAAAAAGAGAACAGTTATGGGGGACACATTAAAACGTACGAGAGTAATTACTTTTCGATTTATCTTGTGGTCAGACCACCGGCCAAGTTTTGCCAACAGACTTTCGAGGCTTGCTCACTTCCGGCGCACGCCTTTTTTCCCGCGGGAACCCTTTTCTTTCCACAGAAGATTTCGTATTTCGTTCTGAACTGTATCGCAGGACACGCCCTTGGACAGATGAAATTTTATTCGCTGTCCAACTAGCCTCCTTTCAATTTCTAGGTGAATACCTTTCGGACGTAAATATCTTACCGATACGTCTTATTTGCGACAAGGATCGCCAGAGTCCATAGGGAAGCTTGAGAAAGTAGGTTTCTCATGGGTGGAGGAAAGCTTTTCTTATAATAGATTATGATAGAATTTACTGAAAGGAATAAACAGCTCTTAATAATCTAAGCATCACTTGAGAAATATTCTTTTTCACAAATAGAATATTTTGAAAACAACATATATGGTTAGTAGGTACTGTTAAAGCAACTATTCCTTCATTAGAATTTTGATCAATTAATTCATCTATAACTACAATTTCCGAGTTTTATTATAAATATAAACAATTTGATAAACTCCATTGATTGCTAGATTACCGTTTTCTTAAAAGCTCGTGAAAGCTGTTGGCAAAAGCAGTAGAGGACAAAAATTTCTAGAGCAGATCGTTTGGTGTCCGATTACTAATCCTTACGGTAAAGAGTTGAGAATCTCTCTTCCCTTCCTGAAAACCCGAACCGTTTACATGTTATTTGTTTGAGAATCCTTCGCTGAAAGATTTCTGCTTTTCTGTCCTACTTTATTGTCAACCTCGAACTATTTCATTCTCCGCCCTAGAGACGGGTTTAACATCGCAATTGCTTAAGCCATGGCTTTGTCCCCATTGCAAGAACCTTACTTTCTCTTTAAACTCAGATCAGTTCTCTAAATTCTTTTTTACGGTTTTTTATGTCACCCTTGACGCTAGGTACAAAAACACGTTACGAACAACAAACAAGGGGATACATCAGGTACAAACGAAGTGGACAAAAGAAAGCTTATTATGAAAAACTGTAATAAAGTAGTAAATGGTTGGGACACAGGCTAAAATGATGGTAAAATGGTGTTCATGCACACGGCGAGGTAGCTGTAAACTGTACAGTCAAGTACATCCGAACTTCATAACGCAATAAAAATACAGCTTTCCTCTCGAACCTTTTCACGAAAATACAGCTGCGTCGTCGGTTTTTATTGTACGGATTTATTGTAAAATGGATAGAAAGTGAGAATGAATAGCTTGGATCGGACTTATTGAAAAACATGATTGCAGCGGATTCTGACTGGCTCTCTTACTGACTTCACAGAACTGTTTAAAGTAGTTAACAACCGTATTTGCCTTAGCTTACGAAAACATTAATGGTAACTTTAGACACTTTCCTATTTTATCTCTCTATTTACAACGTGACGGATAGCTTTGACACATTTTTATAAATCTTATAGAGAGTTTAACTTCAGATTTATGATTACGCTTTTATTACGTTACGGAAAATGAATCGTACAATGCGGTAGAGGAACTTAATGAATCTAAGTCCTATTCTGCGGAAGTCTAACAACAATGCGCGTCGTCGCTTCCCCCAAGGGTTGACCATTCTCTAGGTTCTCATTTTACCCGTTTTCCTTTATTTCTTAGTTTTCATTCTCTTTCATAAGAGATTCCTCGTATTTTCGTCTAACAGCATTGAAAAAAGTATGCTTCCATAACTGTGTAACGCCTACCACTCGCGGGTATCGCCAAGATGAGAAAGAGCAGTTTTTCGGAGAACTCGTTCAAACAAGGCGAAAGGTTGAGAGCCAGTCTTTTGAAAACATCGGGATGTTGGTCAGCATGTCATATGGCCAATAGCCAGTGGCCGCGTGGGTGGATGCAGGGTGGTGCAGATGCAAGAGCCTGTCCAACCCTTCCGTAATAACGTCGAAAGAAGGGTGCCGTGCCCACGATCCTTTCTGCATTGTGACGTCCCGATATATACATTGTGTCTGTGCCTGGTTCGTCTCGCAGAACGACGTATGGTCTAGCTAACGGTAAACGCACGGTGGAGCGAGAAACGGCACGTCCATCGAGAATGTGTGTCAAAAGGCCGCAATTTGTGGATCACTGGAGCCAAAAAGCGTGACCTCACCAAACCACCCCTTTCCTTAGTCATGAATCGAATTTATAACAGTATCGAAGGATTTGTTCGATACTGTTGCTTAAAAATTTAAAGCACCCATGTTTTTTCTCGTCATTTTTTATTATTATTATAGTTGTATTTGAAAGTATATTGTGCTTCAATTTTTCGGAAAGTATTCTGTCGAGAGGCAGTAAATAAATCGGACGATTGAGATTTTCTTTTAAATTAACAATATTTTAATGAATATTCTTCATCGTTCTCCGTACTCTACATGATATAACATTTACAAGGGAGGGATTCGTAAGAATAATTTGACCACGTACAATTAAGTCTTTTTCTTAACAACATGGGGCAAATCATATTTTCCACGAATGCATCTGATTCTCACACCAGGAGTATCCTTTACTTTTCTTACGCGACACAGCACAACGTTGTGCTCCTGAAGATTGTGTCCCTCACCTTGCATAAGAAATTAGCATTAGTATTAAGAATGCTTAGATAGTTTATAACAAAATGTATTTTTTCATATACCTACCGGGTACATATGCAATCATTTCTTTGCCGGATGATAGGCGCAGGAGAACGCATTTTCGATTCGCCGAATTTGGTTTCTTCGGCTTTTTGATCAATGTCTTTATAACTATTCCTTTCGCGAATGGTTTCCCGTCAAAAGGGTTTTTCTTTTTCTTCCTCTTCTTTCTATAGTCGCCTTTAAAGTGCAGTTTGCACAATGTCGATTTCAATCTTATTTGTTGGAACCCTAATTTAATGAAATTCATTAACATTAGTTAGGGCCATTCGGTATGAAAGTAATACATTAGAATGGAAAATTACGCAGTTCTTTCGTAATTTCTTAAACAATTTCCTTACTTTATGTCCACAATTCTTGGACAAAGTTACGAAGACGAGAATGTGCATTTACCAAATGAAAGAAATCGGTATTCTTTAAGTAAACATAAAAGGAAACACATCTAGTCCCTAAAGCATTCAAATGAAATGAAAGGAATCGCACAGCAATTACAGGCGTGTACACACTTTCATCTATGGGACACGTATGTACACCCGTTAAAGGAAAAGTGATAGTTTGGTGAACGGATACACAATTGTGTATTTCACTGGAAATTCTTCTTTTACGTAACGGGCCTAATTGCCGTTCGAACATGCTTCGTAGTGACGAAATCGCGCCCTGAGACATGATTTCTTAACTAATTATCGATATCCGTAAATCAGGAAACAAGTTGAGCAACAAAAACGTAGAAAAAATCTTTCTATGACAGAAGGATCATAAAAAATAATTTCTCGCAATACGATTTTTATGAATGGTAAAAAGTTTTCATGAGAAGAGAAAAAGGGAGGGAAAGTTCGATAGGGAAATAGAGAGAGTGTCCAAGGATCACGGTGTCCTAGTCAAGGCCATTGTGAACAGGGTGCGGGAAAAATAGGAGACCCACTGCGCGATGGTAACGGTACTGGGAAACTGAAAACTCTTTCGCAAATAATCTTACGAGCCGGACGAAAAGGGTCTCCGGCCGATGGGATATCAAATATGACGGCCGCTTGACATCTGCAAGCCGCCGTTGGGAAGACCAGTCCTTTTTCGCTCGAGCGTGCATAAGCTTATTAAGCAACATTGTTACGAGGCAAGGTCCACCCATCTTTACACAAAACGCTCAAAATTCGTGAGATCACGCGGCCTGCAAGAGGACAGCGATTTGCCGTTTGCAAAATTACAGAAATGTACAGTTCCTATTTCATCGAGAAAGAAAATTTACGAAAAAAAATCTTAAATTAGACTAATAATGCAATAAGAACTAATGTGAAAGGAGTCCAATGTAATGTTGTGTAATATTAATAATAATATATAGTTATAATGTTAATATCCATGCAATTAATATTACTTCAAGATAACTGATAAGATTTTGGAAGATAATTATCGTTGAAATGTGAAAGTGTATTTATATCGTACTAATGTAAATACGATTAGCACGTAGATTCAATCTTAGGAAAGCCCCCATTTATATAACAAATTTAACTAGAATCCAATCATAAGAATTCCATAATAAACTGCGTCACGAATTTTTTAAAGTTATCGTAGCAAATCGATTACCGATTTTGTGAGAAACCTACGCAATTATCGAGACATAGTTTAAATGAAATGTCGAGGATGACATGACAATTCCATGATGTTTCCTCGGTCATAGCAGCTCGCGATTTACTAGGGTCTGTTAGTCGAGACCGTAACCATTGTTGTTCATTTGAAGATCTTGCTGACCACCGCACCGTCCATCAATGCGACAGATGTCCAAGCCTGCCGCTGCTAATCCGACCTAACTCGGGCTTAACTAAGCCAAGAGACCAGCAGAACCTATTATGCACGGAAGGCAACCCCTTGCGCACTAAGATCAATGCGCAAGATTACATTGCGAAAAATTTCGACGTCGCGGTTACGCCTTTGTCGTGTACACCGAAACAGCCAAGACGCTCCTCGCTGCAGGACAAATCCGCAGATTACAAACGGTTGCGAATGCCGATTGAACGGAACGAACGATTTGCGTAATTAGAAGCTGATTAGGAGACCCTTAGCGAATTACTGGAAGCAAAATGGTGACGCTGGGGCTTTAAGACGAAACATTTTTGACGGCGGAAAATTGAGGGATAAAAAAATCGTGAATGAACTGAAGCATGAAACATAGATTTGAACCAGAATAAACGTATTGCATGATAACGTCTTCTCGTGATTATCATGAACGATTTTATCCCACGGCTAGACGTTTGTCGTCTCGCGAGAACTGGGAAAATGCGAATAACAGACTTAACGCAGCCTTTACCCTTCACGAGATCACTTCTGACAACTGGTCAACCACAAATGGACACGTCACCCCTTCGATTCCCAGCGATTTTCGCTGTTGGCCAAGGAAAAGCCTACCGCACCCGTCCCCCATCACCTCTTTGATTCATGCCCTTTCTTGCGAAGTGGCCAGATCCCTTTTTGCATTTCGAGATCTCTCTATTCGTGGGGATCAAAGAGGTAAAGCGCTGCGTGCGCTTTCACGTGCCACGCGCATTTTCGCGGATGAAGAATGCTCAGAGGACCATGGTCCCATTTTAGGCCCGCCACCCCCTTTTGCCGCATTTACTCCGTTCAGAAACGGGAGATACCGATCAGTCGGAAAGGCTTACGGAAACTCGAGACGTCACCCGAATTCCCGTGGAAATTTTCTGGCCTTGTCACACTTATGGGAAACGCAAACAATGACAACGATAAAACTGCGAGCAATTTAATGTAAATGGGTCACCCAGAACAAAGCCGGTCTCCGCTTTGAAATTTTGACATAATTACCATTCATTTTTTATCATGGATGTGTTTCCTCAATTTTAGAGAACAGTATTTTATTGAAAACAAATCATCTATGATATTAGTTTGAGAAATGTGCTACAGATAGATATTTTTGTTTTATCTTGCAAGCGTTGAACAACACATTCAACTTCTGATACTCTGAACAGTTTCTATATGCAGTATTTATAATTTGCAGATTTTCAATTGTCTTATAAATGCATAAAATCTGTAGTCTAGTAGTATAGGTTTCATTCAGACTTTTATTAAGCATCATTAATAGTTTCGTTCACTTCCGATTGAAGTATCAAATAAAATTAGTATCGAAGTATAGCTCACCTTGTATTAGGTTCCCAATGCATGAATTAGTTGACGTAGAGTTCAACAATTTTCCAGCTTAAAGATTAAGAAATTCATTTATTATTAATAACTTCTTTACATAATGTTGTTAGCATTTCTTCAATAAATAAGTACCTTGGATGAGAGAAGTGGCCTGAGTTGAAATAGGATTCACACATAATCTGTTTAACTGTGGTTTGCCAACTGTAAAAAGAAATTTAGAAGTGATTTGCTAAAACTGAAAAAAATAATTATAGCAATTCTATGATAATTTTCTATTGACAATAAGAGATAGTCATGATTTAACATTTCCTATTGCATGTGTCTCAAATCAAAATATTAATGAAGTGCAAATATTGTTTTTATAATAGTGATAACTATTTATTTTGTTAAGATAGGTTATATCAGGTTAGGAAAGAATAGATATGCCCATGATACGAAAATAGGAATACCTTCGAGAGAATTTTTCAAGCAGACCTTAGCAACGTTTATTACGTTTCTAGTCAAAAAATTCATGACTGTTTTAATTCAATGATGATCAATCACTCTTAAAATACGTAGCTAAGCATTCTGATATTCTTGCCCAGCAGCCAGCTACGAGCTACCTGCCAGCGACGGTAGGGCTATCGAACCTCTCGTGTTATAAACATGCAGGTAGATAAGATCCGTTTCTGTAGTATCCTTGTTTCAGACATAAACCGTTTTACGTAAGAGAAAGTTTTTACAATGAACAATTTTATTGACCCTAGCAGAAGTTGTAGGCGCCAACATCCTCTGCAAAAAAGGTTCTACAAATTTCTTTTTATGTTCGCGATTTTTATTGATTTGACGGTAACTGAAGCTTTTCTAAATACTTAAACTGAATATACGAGAAAAATTAATGTTGGAGCACGATTCTGTTTGTTAAGTTCATCTGTTCCATATTATGAATNAAAATAATTCATTCGTTAAATTTGAATACAGTAGGGCAGGCAAGATAAATATGAGAAATTATCAGCATTTATTTTGCACATCAGTATAAAAAAACTCGTTTAATCAATATATAAGATACATAAAAATACATGACACCACCAAGTAATAAATCTCATCAATTAACGTCAATCGTTTCACCAGTAGCCACCGCTAAGAATTCTTCCGTGTCCTCCACCGAAACCGCCGCCGTAACCGCCGCCGTAACCGCCGCCGTAACCATGTCCACCGCTACTGTATCCGCTGGAGATACGAGCTACTGGAAGACTATATGAATGACTACTAAGTCCTGCAATAAAATTATATAAATTAATAGATTATGTCGCCCGTGGCAAATGAATCTTTATGATCAGGAATTTCTCAGAATTCTCCTTAGAACAACATTTTTACTCACATAATTTTAATCTAATTGCTTTCGACGAACTTTAATAATTTTATACGACTGGTGTTTCCAATGGTTTTTTAAATTCTAAGTTAATTACCTCCTCCATGACCCAGACCGCCTCCTAGACCACCGCCTATGCCACCGCCGCCTAAACCATGCAAACCAAGACTGATACCCCTTTTCTCAATGACTTTTTCTTCCGATTGGGCATACAAGGGAGATGCCAAAGTAATGACGGCAAGAACGATCTGTAATTAATGAAGTTAATTTTATATTCAACTATAATACAGGTGATAATTAACATCTATTAGGTATTTGAAAACCAAGAAAGTGTATTTTGGATCTTTATGTTTTACATATATCGTGCACGAAACTTCGATAATAAATATAATACCTAGTTCACGCAAGTAGTGTAAATAGATTGAATTACTTACGTGGAATTTCATATTGCTGGTTGTCAGTGCAGCAGCGGGCAGTTCCTAATCGTGACTGATGCAGCCTGCAGAGAATACACCCCCTTTTATACCACTGAACTCTTTTCCTTGTGGTATCGCATCCCGGTTATGCCACCGTACCTGTGTACGCGTGTCTCACAATCGCACGCGTATCCACGCCTTTCTAAACCGTTGTTTCCCCGCGTTACCTGTCGCGAAAAGTTTATATTTTTTATTGCCGGATCACCGCGAAATTATCAAACGCGTCAAGTCGGTTGGAAAGAAATAGGTCAATCGTAAAGATCGGCGTTAGATACAAAATGAAATCGTTATCCATTTTTCCTTATGTTTTATGCGTTCGTTCGAAACGTCAGCAATCTTTTCATCGAACATGCCCGTTTTACGGGTGCAATCTTTTAATTAAAGAAATCGTTAAATGTGTTACGCATTGAGTATTCTTACGCTTTCAAGTGAAGGACTGTCCGTCGCGCACCGCTTGATCTTCAATAGAATTCATTTTATCGAACGCGTCGGATACCTCGACTAGCTCCTTGTATTTTTGTTTTCTACACCATTTTTCTTTTTCTCTTTTCGCATTTCGATGCAATTTTAATCGGCTAACGAGAGCTTCAATGAGAGACGTCAGCTCGTATTTTCCGCGCATCTCGAATTTCATCCGTAATGCGGAACTTTCACTATTACAGTTCGCTATGGGGACGGTTTTCTGTTGCATCGTTACGTAAAAATACGAATCCGTATTTTTATGTCATATCGCACTTCCTCCCTCTTCTCAAATGCCGCATACTACGAGAAACGTGATCAAACCCGTTATGGGAAATAAGAATGCTTTCATTCAAATTAATCTTTAAATATATATTTCTTAATTAGAGCAAACGTTGTTCCAATTTTCGCGTAACATGTTTTATTATAATAATTCGTTCGCAAGTTGATCTGTTCATGTCACGCGAACATTCGAATTGATCGCGACCTGAAACATTACAGCTGATTTAATCGGTGGTTGTGTCGTTTTGACTTGACGTAATGGTAACTCTAGAATTACTATTGCGCAAGCGAACACGCAATTAAGAAACCTGGACCTGGACAAATCTATATCGCGGCTCCGGTCGTTGCGGATATTAGTTAGTTAATGTCTCGGTTGCGAAAGGTATCAAAGATCGTGGGTGTTATTGTGCAAGATCGATGAGGGGGTTGCACTTCGCGTCATTAGACTGACGGTCGGAAGCCTGATAACCGGCTAACTCTGAAATTGCAACGATGAGCTAGGAATGAACCGAACCGTGTAAAGCCTGATAAATTACGGGGGCACGTTTTACGTTCATTGGACGGGGTGATGTGTGGCTATTCGAGCTCCTGCGTTCCTCTCCCTAAAGTGCGCGGATCGGCCGGAAGATAATTTAGAATTATAGCGCGCAGATTGTCAAAAATTTATGAGCAATCATTACGAAACCTGAGGATTTTTATAAAAAAAATCTTAACTCAGGCCTCATTTAATTGAATAAATAATATTTGCCTACTCAGCAATTTCTGAATTACGTGATTATGCAGGGTGTTCCCGGATTAACTTATCAAACTTCACTAACTCGTTCTATTAATAGAAATAAGAAAACATGTTATATAAACCTAGATCTGCAAATGCTTTATTATATTGAAATCAAGATTATGTTTGCATTTCGAAGTCCCGTCCCCCGTTGCGAATACAAGCTTGATATCTAAGGAAAACTGAATTTACCGCTCCTCGAATTTCATCTTTATCTTGCTTTAGTTCAGTGAATGGACTACTAATCCTTTACCGCGAATTAACATTTCAGAACTGATACTAATTCACCACAGCATTACAGACATGTACATAATTCAATCTCTGCGTTATCACTTTCGACTATCTCAAACAGTAGACGTGGCTAGAAAGAGTAGGTTGCATAAATACCGTCATCTTATTGTTACATTTCGATGAACCAACAAACTCAGTATTGTTTTATATTTTTATTATAACTTTTTTTATAAAGCATTTGCAGATCTATGTTTATATAATATATTTTTCTTTATTTTTACTCGAAGAAGATACTGGCACAGCTGACCGTTTAATTCGGGGACATTCTGTGTAAAATAATTTAGAGGAAAATGATCTTCGCTTTTCTGTTAAGGATGTATTGGCTATACAGTCAATCCCAAAAGTTTATGTACCTTAGAAAAACGCATTTCCTATAATTAAAAAGAAATCAAACATCGGAAGAATAATGCTAATAATAAATAGCTACGTGCTAAAAAGTATAGATGGAAAT